CCACTGAAACCAGTTATTAGTAAATGCAATAATTATTAAATTATTAGTAGTAAAACCAATTCTTCAAACCACTGATTATGATTAAGCACTGTGGCAGGTTGATATATTCTGACCTCAAAATGAGTCATAGACCCGTAGGTATAAAATATTACTTACTTTTGGATAATACAGCCAATCTTCATTATTCCTCGATCTGTATTTTCAAATTTGCTTGTTTATTAAAATTTATTTGTAACCCCAAAGTCAATACCCAAGTGCTTCTGCAGTCATTCACAGATAGATACGGGAAGAGTAAAAACTTTGGGTTGACCTACGAGCATTTTTTTCATCTGAGGTTATTCAAGGAGATACCCTGCTTCCTTGTTTCCGCTCTCCTATAGAGAAGGACAGAGGACAGAAATGGGAGAGGTGGAGCTGTGTAGTGAAGAAGCCGGAGCTCTGGGGCTAGTTGGAGGGGCTTTGAATCCCAACTCTGGCATCTGTTAGTGGGCTTGCCTCAGACAAGTCACTTAGCACTTTTGAACCTTGTTTTCTCTTTTGTGAAATAGAGAAAATAGTCTACGAGGATGAATTGTTTTTAGGGTTTAAGATTATAATTTGCAGCTATGTGAATCATTTATAACTGTTTAATTTGTAATTGAGATTATAATTTATGACTATGTGAGTAACTTCCAGCTATTTCCCTAGGAGCAATGGATCTATGTTCTGTAATTTGTTATTTGCAGTGACTTTATAGTACATAACAATGGTAAAGAACAACAATCAATTGTATGGCACTGGGCAAGCTCCACACCACTCTGGTGAGAAGTCCGTACCTGCTGAGGTTTGCCTGAATTATATAAGGATTGTCAAATAGATTTTATTGTGGATATGAAGTATTACTAAGAAAACAAAATTCTTGGCCTTGAGTAAGAAATTCAGTAGTGAGGGGAGCTGGGTTCAACAATAAAACAAATAAAAAAAAACAAAGCAAGATAGAAAATAAATAGGTAACACTTTTTTGAAAGACACATAGGAGGCTCCGTCAAGTTGAGTTAGTTACAAACTTCGTGCTGGTTCCCACTTCCCCACTCATCATTTATTTGTTGAACACATGTCACATTTCAACATGCATTAGAGACAATTTTTTTTTTTTTTTACTGTGATTTATCCCTTTAAAGTATTATAACTCCTTGGGAGCAAAAACTCAACTGTACTCTCAGAACATCAAGCACAATAGCTTATATGTTGTAGATATCCAATAAATGTTTGTTGAGTGAATAGAAGATTGGATGAATGTGCCACCACCATGATTATGTGAAGTTCCAGGAAGTTCTCTACTCTCTCCAGCATCATCTCTTTGGTCTGGGTTACTCAGGAACAAACTAGTTCCAGTGATTATAATGAATGAATATAAGTGAGATAATCTATTGCCATTTTTGATGCCTTTTTAAAATATTATTTATGTTTAATTTAATTTTTTCTTGGTGGGACCACACATGCTGCAATCCAAAGGGGGAAATTTTTTGGACTCGTACTTGTGCAAACTGAAATATCTGACAGAGCTAGTCCTGTATGATTTGATAGGTTCCCCTCCTTCTCTGGCCTGCTGAATAAGGTTTTCTGATCTTGTTATTTTAATACATTTATTATAAAATATTTCAAACACATGGAAAAATACACTTGCATAATGAAGATGTAGTTGTGTGTGTGTGTATGTGTGTGTCACCTGACACTGTCAAATCTTAGATTTATAAAACTTGCTATAGTTAATTAATTATGGTCTTTTAAGGCCTCACCACAGGTTATCAATCGTAGTGCCAATTAATTAATTACCAGTTAATTAATAGCATTAATTAATTAACTGCTTGAGTAATTTCATACACTTCTCTCCTTATCCAGGAATGACAAGTATTCTTTTACTACATATTTATGAGATCTGTGAATAATATATAGCTTCATTTTGCATATTTTATGCTTTATTTAAATAACATTTTACTATCTCTGATCTGCAACTCACTTTTTTTAGAGATGTTATTTATTTATTCATGAGAGACACAGAGACACAGGCAGAGGGAGAAGCAGGCTCCCTGTGGGGAGCCCAGTGCGGGACTCGATCCCAGGACCCAGGGATCACACCCTGAGCCAAAGGCAGACGCTCAACCGCTGAGCCACCCAAGCATCACTGCAACTCACTTTATTTAAAACTTTCGAGATTTATCTAAGTTGACATATTTAGGTCTGGGTCCTTTATTTCCACTGATGTATAGAATTCTAATTTGTGAATATATCGTAATTCGTTTATCAATATCTATTAATGGGCATTTAGGCTATTACAAAGTTGGAATTTTTTGTTACCTATCATTACTTTGGCATAACCTTGTGTAAACACATATGAACAACCAATCGCTGCATTTGATGTAAAACAAAAAGGTAGAAAATGTAAAGCAAAAAAGGTAACAAAATGAAACCTAAACTTTCAGTAAGAACAGGGTAATCCATTTAAATTTCTGTTTCTATGAAATTGTTGGAGTATTTACTTAGACTCTGTGCTTCTGAAGGAACATAAAACACTTTTGCAATTCAATTTTAAGTGCACTAGGATCAATTTTTTAAAAAGTGTTAATTGTGCAGTGAGAGACTGTTACCAGGTGCACTGATCAAGAGGACAGCTTTTAAATCAGATGCCAGTGGGCTCCTATTGATTCACTGAGAGACCTCGGGCAGGGTGTTTAACTTCTTTAAGTCTCAGTTCCTCTCAGTAAAAAGTGGGTAACTCTTGAACCCATGTTATAGGGTTATTGCAAATGAGATGTAAATGCATAAAGCTAAGGGTTTGGCGTACAGTTATAAAGCACCTTAAATAAATAGGAAAAAAAATCTGCCAACAAATTTGAGAGACTGTATATTTAGACATATATATATATATACATATATGTGTGTGTATGTATATATATATGTGAAGACATATATAGACTTATTTACATAAATATTTAAAATGTCATTAATTTAAGCAAGCCATATTTTTACATTTGACTCAGACAACTGTTATTATTATAACAAAAATCTCTGAAAAATCTTTGGGATCAATACTATAATTCCCCATCCAAGTGAGCCAGCGTAAAATGGGACATTTTTGTGACCTCATTTTTGTAACGTTATTAGAATTAGAAAATTCACCATGGCACGCAGAATTCTAATTCTTCACAACCTGTGTTAAACAAAGTATCACATCAGTGGGAGACAGGAGCCCCTTTCTTTTTAACACGGCTAAGGCTTGCGAGTACAAAAAGGAGCATTATTTTGTTAATAATGAAACAAGTACTTTTTATTACGAATAAGATACCAAATGTCTAAAGAAGGAACTTGCGGAAATCACTGTACTTGGAAATTGGGCTGAATGAAAAAGGGTGATGAGACTTTTAAGGTGCCACCACAGGGACTCTACTCTGGGTGTCAACATGATGCTTTTTAACACCAAAACGTGACTAGGAAAGACAGTCATGCTGTGGCCCACTGTGATTCTGCACAAGAATACGTATAGTGTCCTCTTAACAGAAATGGGTTTGTGTAGCTAAATCCTCAGTCCATCCTGGAGTGCCAAGGCAGGAATGGGCTGGGTCTAAGCCTGTCTTTTGTATGTTAATGAGCTTTCACAGCAAAGGTTTATGAATTAACACAGAAGGAAGGATTCTTGAAGAAAGACATTTATCTCCTTATTGCCTTTTGTGATGGATTGTTCAGAGCTAAAGGAACACCGGGCCTGAACCAAATCTCCTGCTGCCCTATATAGTTTGTACAATCTCTTTTTCAATAACACCAAGTCAGGGCCGCCCCACTGCCAGACCAGCACTTCTTCAGGAATCTTCTCATAATATGACAGGGATAGAACCATCTGTAATACAAATCAACACTATTATTTTCAAAGTAAGCACTTTAAAAGGTTGCTTGAACAAGAAAAGATGAATTTGCCGAGTTGCATGCTATCTTGGAGTTAAAGTAGGAACACACCGTGAATTGCATTGCCCTGAGTGTTACGTTTTATCCTGATGCGTTTTAAGCTGAACTGGGTAAACAGTATAAGATGTTCCATTAGTGTTAATATGCAAGATGCAGTGATTAGGTATGATTATTTTCTGAAACTACTGCCCTCTGTTTTTTTATTGTTCCTTTGATCTCTAGCGGGTAGAGAAAACAAAATTTGTAACTTAAAATATATTATCTTTGATGTAGAAATTAATTTTCGTGTTGCAGATTTACTGATTTGTGAAATGCTATCACTAGATGGTAAAAAAAAAACTTTAGTCTGCAAAAAATGATGCCACTTTCTATTTCTTTTTCAAAATTTGTCTAAAGCCATTTTATCTTTTAAAGTCTTGAATCTTAATTTAGGGTAAGGGACCTATATCCAATGACTTGATGCAAACTTTTGAGAAACAGCAAGGAGGTCGAACTTACAAGATATTTGCACTTAAATGATCATAGCTGAACTCGGATTAATTTTTTTATTCTAGCGTTAGTTTTGTTTTCTTCTATATAGCATAGGATTGGGGTCTTTTTGTTGTATATATCTCCACTCTTACAGTTTGTCTACATTCCACTAATTTCCTACTGATAATTTTCAAAAGATTTTTCTGCTTTGAGATTCTAATTTTTAGTATGTGTGCTGATTAATTCTGTGGTTCCTTGTGATTGAAGACTGTCAATAAAAGGGCAATTTCACATATAACCTTCAGCATTTTGAAAAGATGGTGTACTGTGAAATGCTCCTGAAACCGTATATTTTGACAAGGTCCGCTTCCACTTAAACGTGTATAAAGTCAGCGGGCAAGTTTCTCAATAATGTAATAATCAGTTATTTCACTTGTCATCTCACATCAAGCCGTCATTTTCCTATGGTAGCTTTTAACTTACCTGACTCTAGCTGCTGTGTATGTATTTCTGTAGCTTGTAAAACATCTAGTTATCGCTCTGTCTATTTTAGCTTGTTCGTTCTAATGATTTATTTTCATTTTCTTTAGGATGCAGACCTGCCGCTAACTGGATTTGATTTATAAGAGGGGAATCTACAGTCAATGGCCACTCTTGTCACGTTGCTACTATGGAAAACAGAATGGTCAATAGGATATGGTCTGATAAATAGTGATGATTGAAGATGTTACTTCAATCCATGTGAAATCGATGGGAGATACTGGCTGCGTAAAGAGCTTTCTGAGCTTTTCTTGACGAGCTTGACTTGAAGAAGTCAGAGGTGTGAGCTACCACTATACAGTCTTCTCAAGCGGATACAAATACCTTTGCCTCGCTGAAACCAGACAACTACACAACTAATGTGGGACCATGGCACTGCCCAGATGCATGTGGCCAAATTATGTTTGGAGGGCAATAATGGCATGCTTGGTACACAAGGGATCGGGTGCCTCATTGACTCTCTGCGCGTTGGGATGTTTGCTGCAGGCTGCCCATGTGCTTTCACAAAAATTGGATGATACAGACCCACTGGTGACCACCAACTTCGGCAAGATAAGAGGGATTAAGAAGGAGCTCAATAACGAAATTTTGGGACCTGTGATTCAATTTCTTGGGGTTCCGTATGCAGCCCCACCAACAGGGGAACATCGTTTTCAGCCTCCAGAACCACCATCTCCCTGGTCAGATATCAGGAATGCGACTCAGTTTGCTCCTGTGTGTCCCCAGAATATCATTGACGGCAGATTGCCAGAAGTCATGCTTCCTGTGTGGTTTACTAATAACTTGGATGTGGTTTCATCATACGTACAAGACCAGAGCGAAGATTGCCTATATTTAAACATATACGTTCCAACTGAGGATGGTGAGTTTACTGCAGGAAAAGCAGGGAGATAAATTTATATTTTCTTTTATATTCTAAGTTCTAACGATATTGATTCACGTGTACTGGTAGCATGCATGGCTTTTCCTGTTGGCATGTAGACATATTTTACATGCTTGCATGCCGCTCTTTTTGTTTATGTGTGTTAGTGTATCTGTTCTTATTTTTTTCCTGTGCCTACTCATTTTTTTTCCTCCACAGCACGTATATTTAGGTAGAAATGGGTTCCTAATTTCCATTTCCTACCGAATGACTTCTGAGAAGATGCATCAACATGTCTCCATTGCATGTGCAGGCTCAACGAATCGGGGATCTTTCGCACTCAGTAAATGCAGGAGCATATTAAGTTAGATAGTGGTGTTGCATGTTCCGGCGGTCTGTGATGGAGCGCCATGTTATTTTCTAGTCTTCTATTCATTTTTCAGTAAAAAGAATATCCAAGGAATGTGCCAGAAAACCCGGCAAGAAAATATGTAGAAAAGGAGGTATGTATAAAAGTGGAAATAAAAAATGGGGGAAAAGCTTGCAGAGGAAGAAGATATTCTCCCTCAGGATGATTTGCTGATGCTGGGAAGTGAATGGCTAGGTGATATTTGGAATTTCTTGAAGCCTGTCAAGGAACAGAAAGATGATGAAGGAGAGCTGTAGCTGAGTAGATAATGTTGACGAAGCTCATTGGTGGTGCCTTGTGTGCTGGTGCTGGTGGCATCAACAGGAATTGAATCTCTGCTCTGAGTTGGTGTTTAGAGGAAAAGATACTCAGGCTATGACACTACCCGCAAGGAACCCAAATGATGCTGCCTTGCCAACTGGTTGACTTTTTCTCTGAACCTTGTTCTCCAGATAGTGATTTCTGTTCCTCTTAAAACTGATCAGTTCAGTCACAAACCTAGTTTTTTGCCTCTTTATTCTTAGCTACTTGTGAATGCCCTATGAACTTTCTCATATCGGGGTAAATTTGCCATAACTGCTGGGCGATTACCGTTATTAAGTAGTAGTATTTTCCCCCCAGATAGTCTATATTTTCAGTTCCTCTTCCAGAAAAGAATGAGATTTTGCAGATTTTTATCCTAAATATTTACAGTCTTAAAATTACTTTAACATTTTTGTATTTATGTTAAACAATTTAAAACATAGGGAAGAACATGATTCAGAAGCTACAATTAAATCAACCTTCAAATCATCCTCTAGCCAGATTGAGCAAATGTAGACACTGACAGCTGCAAGCTTGCATCTGAATGTAGCTTGTCCACACTCCATTTTTATATAACATCCAGTAAATCACTCACAGGAGAGTATGATTTTCTATGGCAGTAAATCATCTAAGTGTTATTTTGACCTTATTCATAACTTTGTAGAATTTCCAATCTTCATACAGAAGTCATATTAATATTCTAGTGCTGTACATTCTATCTCTCTTTGCACTTCTCATCTGGCTGGACCAAGTCAGATTTCATTACAACATCCTTGTGGGGCAGGGAGTGTCTAAACTGTTCTGTTTTACGAGGATCGCATTATATGGAAAAGCTTCATACAACAGAATTCTCAACTGCCGATCAGAGTATTTGCATTAAATTGAGTTTTGTTTGGTTTTGTTTTTATTTTTATTTCTTGGGCCATACTAGTAGAATGGGATTTGACCTTTGTTTTATTATTGATGCTGCAATTTGGGTTCAAAGCACACTCTACTTGAGAAGATGGATATAGAGGGAACAAAGTGTTTTAAACGACTAGAACATAGTCTCTTGTTTTTCCCCAAATGAGAATAACTGCAGTAATTTACATTCCTTCAACTAATGTACAGTACTGCAGTGGTTATTATTATGCAGCTTATCAAGCATGTGTAATTAGCTAAGTGACTTTCACCTCCTATCACAAAGATGTTGATTCACAAAGTCATAAATAAAGATGCTATTGAAGAATGTATAAATAGAGCATAATACATGAAAATATGTACAATCAAGGAAATGAGGATACCAAAAAGGTAAGCTAGTAAGCGAGAAAGTGACCTTTCCTCTCATATAACTTCAAGGGAAAATAGCTTCATTAGAAAATTCTTTTTCATTGTTCTTTGGATTGTTGGTTCCATCGGCTGTATGAGAGAGTTGGCAAAGAGGTGTGTTAGGCTGTGCTATTTACTTTGGCAAACTTTGAATTAATTTCTAATTAGCTTGAGGATAAAATGTGTAGATACTTCAGTCTGTGTGGTGTATAGTCTAAATCTATTGTGTTTTTATGTTAAGCAGCTTAAAAAATTATTTTGCATGGGTATTTAATATATACTATTATTATTAAATAATTTTTGTTCATCTACTAGCTATTTGTATGTTACCCCAAAGTCTAAATAACAAAGATTTTAAATGTAACTTTCTATATAAATGGCTTATTTAAAACTAAACAAAACTAAAGTTTAGAGCTTGACTTTAAGCAGAGGTGTAACTTTTTTTTCCCCCCCAAACTTTTAACTTTTTTTTTCTTCTCGATCATAGAGAGTCTTTTTTGGTCACCTCAAGAAATCATATTATTCTAATTCAAGAAAATACTGGTCATTTAATATCTACACAGATAGCAACATCTATTGCATATGGATTATAAATTCTTCAACAGAATTCTAGAAGTTTATAAATGATGATTCAGGAACTATAAGAATAGGTGTGTTGCATGTTACAGGTGTTAAAGATATTTTCATTTGTTATTATTTATCTTTTTTTTAAAATTGCGGGTGGTCACCTTCTGAGGCAGATGAACCCCCACCCCATGCCAACTACACTAAAATCTGCGCTTACTGTGTAAATCCAAAACTATTTCTTAATTGCCTAAATCATGTACTCTTCAAGGGAGTCAGTAATGAATGAAACAAAGATCCTTCTTCCTGCGGAACTTACTGCATTCAAGTAAATTTACAAAGAACAAACCATTTTCTCCAGTTTTGTCTGTGTAACAGGAACAAATCTTTTACTTCCTCCAAGAGATGCCTTGCTATAGTATTTTTTTTGATTTATTAATTGAGAGAGAGAGAGAGAGAGAGAGTGAGTGGAAGGGGCAGAAGGAGAGAGAGAATCTCAAACGGACTCCGTGAACAGCTTGGAGCCAGAAATGGGGCTTGATCTCATGACCCTGAGATCAGGAACTGAGCTGAAACCAAGAGCTGGATGCTTCACCGACTGTCCCCACTCAGGCACTCTGCCTTGCTATAGTTTCAAAATAGAGCTTTTATAATATTTTCCTGTGCAGTTGAAGAAAAAAAAAAACATTTTTATCAATAGGCTTCCTCTCATTTAAAAGAGGTCCCAGTTGCACTTTTCAATCTATCTTTTTATATTTCCCATGATAGTTTTAGCCATATGTTAATTACTCTCTAGATATTTCTTCAGGGTTTTATCCTTGCAAAATTGAAAGATGAGTGCTTAAAATGGGATGACGATATCAACACCGGGCCAGATAGGCAGATAACATGTGACTGAAACTGAAATTTGGATGTAGAAAAGATATTACTATTTATTTTATAAATAAGAAAGTAGGTTCTGGGGTTAAGTGTTCTGACCTGGTTTCTATTGCTAGTAAGTGGTAGTTAGGTTTGGTCCTAGTTCTTGCTAATATTAGATGCATTACCATAATGTTACATTACCTCTTCTAGAGATTTCTATAGCAGAGGCTCATATCTCTCTACCTTCTTGATCTCCCTTTCTTTTTTTTCCCCCTCTTAAATATATTGTGAATTCTTTTTATTCTCCTGTTGACTCTATTTTAAATGGATTTAATGCTTGCTTTAATTGAATTGGGTCAAGTCCACGGTAGCAAATGATTTCCAGAAAACATGTTAATATCCTTTTTGTGAATATTCTAAAATCCTACAGATAATTTTCTTATTGTCTAGACCAAGATCCCAACATATCTCTCCTGGCTACTATGAGGAATAGCTTTAATTTGCTTATGTTTCATTTTGTTTCTCTAGTTTGCTGTCTTGTGAGAGTTGCCAACAAACAGAAGAGTGGTCAAATATTAGGCAATAAACATGAGAAGGAGGAACAAGGGACCCAGAGAATCCACAAACAAATTGATTGGCTCATGGATGCCCTAGAGTTGTGTAGCTTTGTGTTTCTCCCGCACTTTGACTACTATTTGCATATAGCTCTTTTGAGATGAATACAGAATTGATTTTCATGTCTGCAGTGGTGAGAAATTGCTAACCTACTTTTTTCATATACCCCAATTTTTAATGTACAGAAAGTTAGAGTGAATCTTAATAGTTGGCTCTTGCATAATTTTTTACTTCTTGAGCATTTCATTCTTGATTTTCATGAACTATTTTACACTTACATTCTCTGTTTAGTAGTCTTTTCCTGAGATAATATGGAATTCATTCAAGAGCCTTTCCACAACGTTAGGGTCTATCTGGTTGTTTGTTGAACACAGACACTGATTTTTTCCCCTGATTAGTTGCGTATAACAATACTCTTTCCACTGTTAATGTGTGTAAAAGGAGATTATGTTCCATAGTGCCCATCCTTTTTGCTTACACATTTTTAACCAATTTATCCATCTAACAAATATTTATTGAGTCCTTACTCTGTGCTGATGATATTAATGCTCTAGGATCCAGAGATAACAGCAGAAAAAAAAAAAAAAAGTCCTTAACATCCTGGAGCTTACATCTAGTGTGTGGAGACTAATTGTAGAAAATAAACAAAATCAACAGCTAAAGTTAAGAAGATGAGAAATCATCAACAGAGTATGGAGGTTCAAGAGTGCTGGAGTGAAGGATGACGGTAATTTTAAATAAGATATTTAGCATAGTCTTCATTCCAACGAAGACCTGAAGGAGATGAAATGGATATCTGGAGAAAGAGCAGAGTAAAGAGCTAGAACAAAGGCATTAAAGGTGAGAGTCTGCATTGTGTAGGTAGGGAACAACCAGCACTATAGTATATCTGGAAAGGGTAAAGGGAGAGAGGCAGTGAGATTCAGAATGATCTGACTTT